GGGTCAAAAAACAGATCTGTTTTTAGTTTTCTGAGAACCTTCCTTCTTTTCCAGGAACATATGCTACTTCTCTGTGGCAATTCTGTGAACACTGTCACTCAGGACTACTTTTTATGTTAACTTTGCATATTTCAGTTGGGAAATTATGACATACCAATGCTGTTCTTGGGGACTCGATTTACACAGATGCTGGGTTCTAAGAGGACCAGGGAAGCGAATGCTGTAGAATTGAAGGCTCTTATAAATTTTCCCAGTTGTCTGGGTTTTGATGCAGGTGTGGCAATCAGCCCTGCAGTCCCTTAGAAAATGATTTGTGGGACGACAGCTCACACCAAGGCAAGGAAATCTGTGCAGAGCCGTGGGCCGAGGCCCAGGATGGTGTCACTTAACTGAGACTTTTTTCTCAGTGGAAGGCGATGCCTCGCATGGGGGTTACCAGCAGGATCCTACCAGGAACTGTCTGCTCTGAAGGGCCTGAGAGAGGGAAACCGTGACTACAGTCGGGCCCAGCCCACTCCAGCTGCTCCACCGGGACCTGCCGCGGCTGCCACAGGCATGTCACTTCCCCCAAGGACGGAGACTCTCCTTGACATCTCTATCACAATTTGAGCGTGTCCAGACATCAACATACCCCATTTCTGGCAGCAGTGTCTTTAGCAAAGAAGGAACAGTTGGCACTCAAAGATTCCATTTGTGTTGTATCCAAAGATCAAGACTAAAATTGTGTAGAGGCAACACAATGGTGACATTTCAAACTGTGCCCAGAAAGAACACAAATGACAGCGAGACATGGGGCTGAAGACATGGGGAAGGGAGGAAAGGGAAATGAAAGAAGAGCCACAACAAGGAAAATATTATGCACCTGGAAATGAAACTTCACAATGCTGGGACTCCCCCTTACAGCCCCAGGGACTGACTCAGCACAGACTGATAAAATGCTAAAAAAGATTCATTTAGAACTAGACCCAACTTAGGTTTCCCTACAGCCAGCCTCACTTACCTGACTCCCTTGGGTGCTTTTGTTTCTCTTTTCCCACTGCTCTTGGGGGTCCCCAGTTACCCCACTGAGCTGGCCTGGATTTTTTTTCCAGCAGAAGGCAGGGGTCCAAGATTACTTCCTCTGTTATGGATAAAAGCTAACTGTTCATTTAAAAAGGTAAGTGACCGTTGCAGGGGAGGGACAGTTAATACAGAGGAGATAGAATGTGTTTTGGAACTTTGTGAGTATTTTTCAGACACCAGGTTTTGCCCAGGATATTCCCACAGCAACAGATACTGCCTGGTATCATTACGGTTGTGTCGTTGTCTCACTTTATTGTCTTTCAATATTCAATCCCAAGGTGCGTGACTTTTAAATCTTTCTCACTGAAGACAAATTACTAAATGTGTAAGTGTTCATTTGTAAATTTCATCTGAACCCTGACCCAGAGATGCACTGTAGCTCTTGAGACAGTTCGCTTCCCAAAGGCGCTGAAATGGGCATTGCACTGGTGTCTGTCCCACAGCTTCGTGATTTGTTTGTGCCGAGGGAGGAAAGAAATTCCTGTTCCCAAGAGAAGAGTCCAGATGGTGAAGATCAGTGATAAGTTCAGATGCTCAGCCTCAATTTTTCTGGAGAAATTTGTGTCTTTAACCCATTGCAGGGGGGAAAGAAGAAGGAAAAGCATGGGACACCCTGAGGTGTACTTTTACCAAGTCAACAAACCACAAACAATCAAATGAAGACTACGCACTCCTCCAACTCTGACATTCCAGAACCTCAAATCTAACTGCAAGGTCATCTATCTGAGCTCTTTATTTTATTTTATTTTATTTTATTTTATTTTATTTTATTTTATATTTTACTTATTTATTTTCAGAGAGAGGGGAAGGGAGGGAGAAAGAGAGGAAGAGAAACATCAGTGTATAGTTGCCTCTCGAGCACTCCCTACCGGAGACCTGGCCCACAACCCAGGCATGTGCCCTGACTGGGAATTGAACTGGCAGTCCTTTGGTTTGCAGTCCAGCGCTCAATCCCTTAAGCCACGCCAGTCAGGGCTTATCTGAGCTCTTTGAATACAAAGAGCACATAACTTGCCACAGTATGAAAAGAAAAAGAAAATCTTTATCACAAAAATAGGGAGGAGGAGAGACATGACTAACCAATCAACACTGGGAGTCTTACCAGGACACTGTGTTCTACTCGTACCTGAGAAACAGTCAAACACTTTTCATTTTTTATGATTCTGCGTATCATGGCAATTCACAAAAGGAAGACAAGCTACCAAAGAGGGAAGAGAGAAGGCAGAGGGGAGAGGCAGCGATCAGAGAAAGATGTGCTCTCCAACCAGGCTGCGGTGTCAGGGCGTGTTTCGCCCCCCAGTCCAGCTGACTTCACGGCTGGAGGCTCAGGTGTGCTGAGAACCCTTCCTGGTCTGCCCTTCTCATCTCTCCACTTCTCTCATGGGCACAGGTGGGGTGAGGCTGTCCTTCCTCGGGCTAAGTTTCCCAAGGACTAATGGGACTTGGGGGAAGAAAGTAGAGGAGGCACCCCGGCTCCCCATCACCTCCCCAAGGACGAGTGAGTTTTCTCCTCTCTTTGAGTGCCCTGTGCTTTTTCTAGGTTTCTCTCCGAGGTCCTTCGGCATCTCCTGCCCCACCCAAAGAGAGCAAGCACACCAGTGGAAATCCCCCGAGCAAACTAGCACATGCTGTACCAAAATATTGTGCCTAGGCTTTGTTCTTTTACATCTTCACAACTAAAGGAAAGAGATACAATCAAAATGATAGTCCACTTAAATGATAAACAAGAGAATTTAAAGAGACATGACCCAATTACTCACCCACAGAGTGACAATCGGTGAGCAGTTCATGAGATCTGTGTTGGTGACAGAATTTGTGATTTCTCCTTGAACACTTATTTAGTTCATGGAAATTTACAACTACAACTTTCTTGAAAGGATATTCAACTCAACACACAAAACACACCAACTTTTGTAAATCGGGCTTCCGATTTTCTAACCAAGGTTTGAATACAAGATTAGAAACAAGAACCCAAATTATTATCTGATGCACCAAATTGTCACTCTCTTTGGTTTGGAAGATGGTTGTAAATAAAGTGCCAAAAAGGGAAAAGAAAAAAATGGCCTCAGCAGAGGAAGAGGAAAGATAATGTCCTGGTCACTTGTCTCCTTGCTCTGAAACACCCCTTGAGTGTCTAGTCTGGGGTGTGACAACACAAATAGGGCACCCCACCTCTCATGGGTCTGCCTCAGCCCTGAAGAGGGGTTCCCAGAGGCTGGCACAACTGCCCCACCTCCCTTCTCCTTTGATGAGACGGTCACATGACTGTAATGATGAGACAAAGTCACACAGCTTTCAAAGAACTGTTGCTAAGTGTAAACACTATGGGGGATGTTGTTTGTCTTTGTTAATGTCACCATTTTGCAGTCCCAGGGGACCAATTCTGCCCAATAACAGTGAACTAAACAGAAGCTCATCACTGACTGTCCCCTCCTCATCAATGTCCTCAGTACCTTCAAACTGTAGTTGTGTGACTTTGTTCCCAAAGAGAGTTCCTGGGAGTCAAGAGAGTGCAGGTTAGATTAGTCATCAGATGAGCAGCAGAATGTCCTGCAGCAGGTGCTTCTGTCATTTCACGGCAGGACTGCTCTTAACCTGCGCCTCCAAGCTCTGTCAGTGGCTTACAGACAAAAATCCAGGGATCGCCAAGAGACCAGCCAGACTTAACAAATATCACTGTGTTAACCCCGAGGCCAAGGTGTAACTTAACAAATATCACTGCGTTATCCCCGAGGCCAAGGTGGAGACAATTTTTCTTGGTAGACAAGCCTGGGGAGAGTCCGAATCATCGCTGCCACTGTCTCAGGCTTTTGCCCCACAGGCGTAGATACTAGCGTAGTTTATGTGGACTGCACGTTCCTGAAAGTTGTGTAGTGACCAGATTTCCACACGCAGAATCTATTTTTTGTTATTCTTTTTTGAATCCTCACCTGAGGAATAATAAAGTCTATTATTATTGACTTAAGAGAGTAAGGGGGAGAGAGAGAGAGAATCATTGATATAAAAAGGAAACATCGATCAGTTGCCTCCCATACACAGCCCAACCAGGGATGGAATCCACAACGTAGGTACGTGCCTTGACTGGGAATCGAAGCCGCAAACTTTTGTCATAAAGGACAATGCTCCAACCAACCGAGCACCCTGCCAGGGCTAGAATCCTATTTTGAATTCATGGAGAAAAATAGCTATTGTATCCGATAAACAAGGGATCAGCAAACTTTGTCTCTAAAGGACCAGGGAGTAAAGATTTTACACACTTTGTGCACCACACAGTTTTTGTGTCAGCTACTCAGCTCTCCTGCTGTAGCACAAAAGCAGCCACGTTTCAATAAAATTTTATTTACAAAAACTGACAGTAGGCCAAATTTGGCCCCTCGGCCGCAGTGTGTTAACTCCTATATTAAACACATAACTCTGATGGGTGAAGTATAAGTAACTACTAGGGCTACACAGAAAACAAAGCAGAAAAATTGCTCTTTTTGTGAAATTCTTTTTGTTCTTTTTTGAAATTCTTTATGTTCAGAGATTGTAGGTGGACCATTTAACATATACCTACATTACCTCGTTAAGTGCACATCTATCTTTAGAGCTAAACTTACCCCTGACAACCAGTTGATTAGCTTTGTAAGTTTAGATTTTTGTCCCATGATTCTTTTAAAGTGGGTCCAATTCACACTCTAGTCTAAAGTAGTTTGAGTCTGCATTTGAATCTACCACCTTACTTGCAAATAAGCACAGTGAGTTTGGGGCTGTCAGGAGGAATACCAGAGTAAGACAGTAATCTCAAATGCTCTATCTCTTCCTTTCTTCTACCTCTGCTTAGAACAGCAGTATTTTTACTCTGGCTTCCTGTCTCTGGTACATGCCTCCTTTTTTTGCCATGTTTATACTTCCCCCTGTCTGTGGTTAAGCAAGTATAAAGCCCTATAGCTGTAGCTTTAAGTCTCTCTTACTCAATCTCGCGCGCTTTCTCTCTCTCATTCATTCCTACACAGAGGCTCACATGCCTGCTTTTCTCTATTTGTCTCTCTCAGAATGGCAATTCTAAGTACAGCTTTTGGTATTCTCTTCTATTTACTTCAAGTCGTTTCTGGAGAAAGTGGCTATGCACAGAACGGTGAGTCATTTCTAACTTTTCTTTAGGATGTCAGATTACCTTGAGGACATGTTTCAGGTTGCTCAGATCCCTAGTAGACCTGAGCCGGGCACTGGGTGGGAATGGAGAACTTACCACTGTTCTCTCACTGTGTATGTTCTAACCATCAGGACAGGGGGCTGGGGTTGGTTTATAAAGTCTTAGAATTTTCAACAGAAATGCATTTGTCTCTCCAAATGCAGCTCTTAATGCTGGTCAACTCCTCTGCTTTTACAAAAGGAGCATCCATTCAGATGCAACAGTCGAGCTTGTTGGTTTTACCTTGTTAAGAAGTGAGGCTAGATTTGTTTTGCTTAGCTTTTCCAGAGGTTCTAAAGACATAACTTTCATGATAAAATAATGTCTAGAAATAACAGCTTTGTCTGCACCTACCCCTACTGCATCCCCGGTCCCTGAAGAGCATGTAGGACACAGTGGATGCTCAATACATATTTGAAAATGTCTTCAAAATACTTAAGTTTTGATAGATTTCTGTGAGATTCCTAATAGCCAACAAGAGAAAAAGGTGTCAATGAGTCATCTCATTGAAACATATTTAATTGTCTTCATATTAACAAATTTACTATCATATGATAGTCCTCTTCGGGATCCTTGAAGAACTTAGTACCTAGAAGCAGATGCTGCCTACTTAGTAAATACGTTGTAATTACAACAAAACTGTAGACAAAGGCACAGCAGCAGCAGCAGCAGCAGCAGCAGCGGGGTGGGGGGATGGGAGGACTACCTGGGAAGGTGGACCGCCAGCTTGTTGGTGAAAATTAAGTTCTTTCACTTTAAGAGTTAAAAAGTATTTTCCTGTCAAAGATGTCAAACACATCAGCCTGATGACTCAGCTTAGATTTTTAAGTCACGTAACTACTAAGGATGGAAATCCCTAGAATGCCTTTAGGACAGGAATTGTCAGAGAGTTGACATTTTTCACAGCGTGACCCTGTGTGAGTCATTTTGTGGAGGATGATGATGACTCCCAGTAAACACTGCCTCGAGTTTTGCACGAAGAGGCTTGGCAAGAAACACACAAATCTTACTCTTTGGAGGATAATGTGTTCGTTCCCTGTGTTCCTCCCTGGTGGCCACACGATTTCAAGAAAAATAAGAATTGTAATGAAAGCTGAGTTTCCACCTCAACTTCTTTAATTTCAGACATGTGTAGGATATCTGTGACCACCCATCCACAGTATGACGTCGAACCACTTCCCAGTTTGGTGTGAAAACTAATCAGCTGCTGTTTGTTGAAAGCTAAGTTAGTTCTCCAAGAACCACAGGGGCGATCAAGAGAAGTAGCTACTTTTTCAAAATCGAAACCACTTACACTTTTAATCCCCTAATTCTTTTCACCAGGTAGACTTCAAAACCACACCTCCTTGTCTATACTACAAATTCCAAAAGAGTTAAAGTTTTGCGAAAAAATATGCTTAGCTAACGAGCATTTAAAAAACAATAGGTGAACCCACTGTTGTTCAAAAGCTCTAGGTAGTTTCAAAGTCCAAGTAATAACACCTTTGGCATAGAAATCTGTTTCAAAGGAGCCCCAAAGGTTTCGTGTTCATATTCTCAGATTTAGAATTCTTGTTCTACCTTTTCATTGCTTACTTCTCAAAAAATGAATATGCTAATGGTCCTAGTAACGCTTGTTGAGGTTTTACTGTGTTCTAAGCTAAGTCTTTGTAGTTGCTCCTCATAATAACATGAATTTACATATCAGAACCCTGAGGCTTAGAGAGGGTAAGTAATCTGACGGAGAACCCGAGCTACAAAGCGGAATAGCCAGGATTTGAACCCACATCTGTCCACCCCTGGTGTTGGGGACCTTAACCACTGTGTGTGTTACTCTTACCTAAGAATTTTCAGCTTAGATCAGGTCTAGCATTCCCTTTGTAAAATGACGTGCAGTTGTGCAAGTCATTGAGGGGAGGTTTTCTTGGTTATAAGGCAACTGTGCCCAGAAATACCTGCTAATGAATCGATGAGCTATATCTCAAAATCCAGGCACTTTAATTATATGATCAATGCTCTGTGTATTGCATGAGAATGTACAGCAAACTCACTTTGTCAGCCTCAGTGGCTGGGGGCGGTGTGCGTGCTTTGTTCTAGCAATGCCCAGCATCCGCTACCCTGATCTCTCTCTGGCTTATTTTATATGTTAAAGTACTTCAGAGATCGAGCTGATCCACAGATGTCTGAATCCAAATAGCAATGTAGGTTCTGTTGCATAGGATGGGTCTAGGGAAACCATCTAGACAGCGTGAGACCGCTATGTGGGGACAGGTTACAACTGCCCAGAACTTGTCAGCTGAGACAGGCGCCGTCTCCTAGGAACGGAGATTTAGGTCTGTAAGATTACAGATGAACATGCTCCGGGAACCTAAAGGGTGGGCTGCCACGTTATTTAAAACCGTCATCAGGAGGAGGACTGCACACTGCTGAAATGATGTAAGGAGCCTGTGCTGGGAGCAGAACCGTTGCTTCTAGAAATGTTCAGAGAGAGCAGGGCCCACAGACCTTGTCTAGCTCTGGCTTTCCCAAAGTTGCTGCTCGGACCGAAATGACCTGTCAGTCAGCTGGCTGGTCCCCTCACAACCAACTTTACTAATCTCCCCACAGACCAACTGGCTTATTTAAGTAAAGGGGCGGCTGTTTGTACATTTCATGGCCTCTGGAATGCCCAACTGGGGCTTGATTTTAGCATACTTTATACCTGATTTAAAATCTTAGAAGCATCTAATTTCTAGCATCAGTGGGCCCACAAGCGACCATAAACTTGCACTTGAGTATTCAGAATGCCTTTGGTTACTACGGGTTTTCTCATGTTCCAGTATGAGTATACTTACTGACAGATTTTTCTCTTTTAATATTGTGAAATATACATACATAATGTCTATTCAAATTTAAGGGTTTCACTCCAACTTAAGGAATTAAATACTATCTGTGACAGTATTTCCAAAAATGACTACAAAAAGTTTACGATTCCCCACATACTTCCAGAAGTTGCTCATATCTATGAGATACGGTATCTATAGAAGATCAATAAACACAGAAGCATTGTCTATAAGATTTTCATGAAGGTCTACAAGATTCTTAAATTCTGACTTAAATCTTAAGTCCTGTCAGATCTAATTTTTTTCTAACCACATTTGCCTCAGTTAGTAGCTTAAGACAAATTATCTTAAATAAATATCCACACAATTGAAAGAATCAATGGTGCTTTTACTTGGGACTCCTATTTACGCAAGGGAAGGCTACCCCTCAAAAAAAGTAAACTTCTGATTGTAAGAATTTTATCATCTTCCTTCATTCAAAAAAAAAATACTTGAGCCCTGACCAGGGTGGCTCAGTTGGTTAACCCTTGTCTTACAGGGCAAAGGGTCGCTGGTTCGATTCCTAGTTGGGGCACCTGCCTGGGTTTCAGGTTCAGTCCCAGACAAGGCGCGTAGGAGACGCGACCGATGGATGTTTCTCTCTCACATTGATATTTCTCTCTCTCTTCCTCCCTTCCTTCTCCTCTCTCTAAAAATAAATAAATAAAATATTCGAGGGGAAAGGTTTGTCATAAAGTCAAAGGCTAGATTAGGTGATGTGAATAATGGAGACAAAGTGTCTATTACTTAAAATGTACAAGCTCACAGAAGAAATCACTGTTTAAATAAAGGAAAGACTGTGGTTAGTGCTTCATTCTGGGTCTTCAAAGCACGAAACCAACAATAGAAATATCTGGAGGCGACTTCTTAATCATGATGAATCTTTTTTTTTTTTTTTTGCTATTAGAAAATGTGTGCTCATCAGGGTTTGTTTGGGCTTGGGGTTTTTTTTTAGGGGGGTGGTGAGTTTTGAAAACTCTCGTTTCTGCCCCTGGGCTTTTCTTCTTGAAATACACTAGCATCACTTCTTCATTCCAGCCCCAAAGGCTGCCATTTCACTCAAGTGACTGCAGATTTCAAAAGCAGGCACCTTCCCCCCCTAAAAGTTGATACTTTAAGCACTATTATTGTGAGAAATAAAGTGTCCTTTATCTCTGAAAACAAAGAAAAACGAGCAGACCCTCCTTGGCCTCGCTAACTGCTGCAGGTCTGCCCCTCCCCCCAGGAGACCTGGAGGACTCCGAGCTGGACGACTACTCCTTCTCCTGCTACAGTCAGTTGGAAGTGAACAGATTCCAGCACTTGCTCCACTGTGCTTTCGACGACCCGGACATCAACAGCACCGGTCTGGAATTTGAGATATGGTGAGAAATGGTGGCATCAATGGGCGCTGAGGAGCCCTCTGCCTTTCTTTTTGCATGCTGTGCAGCAACGGTGGCCGAGGGGGGGACTGTGGGGGCTAATTATCAAATACTACAACCCAATGCATTGCACGAGCTTTCGGGGACGCCTGTCCTTCACCAGAAGGCTCATGCAAAGAAGTCCTCCTTGGGTTCATCTCTCAGGTCTGGGGGCTACAGTCAGATGATGGTATGGATTGTAGAGATCCCATATCCCTCCCAATTTGTAGCAGAATTTAAATCCTTGTTTGCCTAAGACAATCCTTACAAAAATCTCCTAGCCTGACACGAGATGATCTCGTGTCTTCAAGTCACGAGCTGGAGCAGAGCTGCCTGATTCCCAGTCTCCACGCCGGCACCGAGCAGCCTCTTAACCCTGAGCTGGTTGTGTAGCTTCCTTACGCTGGTTTCTTCACCTGGTAAACGAGATATAGCACCTCACAGGGAGGTCGAGAGGACTAAATAATTTGATGTTTAGTAATGTAATGAGAAAGCACATCCAGTACGTAACACGCAGTGGGAAAGAGGCATTAAGTAAAAAATCTATGAACAGAGACTACATGTCCACTTTCTTGACACAATTGACTTTAGAGGATACTCCCAGTATCAATCTTCCACAAACCCATAAAAAACAAACTGGCTCTTGGTCTCCGGAGGCCTTGGAGAAAAGGGCAAGGGAAAGGGAAGGTCTCTGTCTTGAAAACGGGGGAAAGAGCGCGGACAGCTTTATCCTCTCCCTCCTCCACGAACCACCTGTCGCTGTGGATGGTTACTATTTCTCATGACTTGAAAAAAAATACTCGAACATGAAATTCTGACTTGCGGTTATCTCCAAATTGCTATCAGGTTACCCTAATTTTAGTTACCGGAGTTTCTTAGTAAAGAAAGTGGGTCAAGAACCACCAGTAGTTAAAAAAAAAAAAAAGAAGCTTCTTAAATTCCATAGACACGCAGACATCCCCCAGGATATGGGCCTAGGCAAGCCCTCCATTCCAGGTCTTCCACTGGAGCTTCCTGCCTCTCCCCAAGCACGGACCCCTGCTGCAGTCACTGGGGCAGCACGGCCTTGGACGTGAATTCCATAGCGATTCCTCCATCCACCTCTGTCAGTTCATGTCTATAACACACTTTCTAGGAATAAAATGTGTCGAGAGAACAGGAACCCACAATATCCAGAATCTACGCTATGCTGCAACTAGACTACATGAAAACAGCCAAACAACTCATGCAAACTCTGTGCTCATTTTTGTGGGCAAAACCTCCTCCAACGTAGAGGTTTGGCTTTGGGTTCTCCAGCCCACTGGTTGGCGGCCTACGGTGATCAATGTGGTTTCTCTTCAGGAGTCCGAGGCTGACCTTTCTGTCCACTTTCACTCACACAGCATCTGCCCACTTCCTTGCCCACTTCCTTCAACACGTTTCTTCCTATTTCCTGCCATATTTTAATCTATCCATAGCTTCCATTTGGGTTTCTCAATTGGATTCGGGTATTTCCACTGGAAAGGAATTGTGCTCAGACATGTTTTTGATATAAAATAGTAAGTACGAACTCCTTAGTAGGTCATGGTGTTATTTTTGTAAAGGTAGGTACGTCTTGAGGGTGGATTAGCGGAACTCCTAGGTTCAGAGAGTGCAACGTACCTCAAATTAAACTCACGTAAACAGAGTGCTGGATCTGCTGGTCAGGTTGAGTTTCTATTCCACACTGAAACTTGCTTTGTGGAGCTTTCTTTCCCACTTATATAATGTGTAGAGAAGAAACTGGAAACTATGCTTTCTGCTAAAGTCATTGCAAAGGTGGGATTGTTGCTAGAGACCCCGTGCTTCTTCCCAGAGGCCTCACCTGAGGCGTTTTTCTATGTGAACTTATCACCTACCTCATCTGGCCATCGGTCTCCCAGGTTCGGAAATCTAGTTGTTTAGTATTCAACGTGCAGGCCCATCTCTCAAAGATAAATTGAATTATCCAAATTCACAGAGCTGGATTACCAGCATCCCACCTAACTGCTTCACACTGACTGTCACAATTACTGTAGGGACCCAAATATTCATCCTGGGCTCAGAGTGGGGTTGCGGGGAGGAGGGACGGAGAGGGCCAGGAGGTTCTATATCAGTATAAATCCCTCTCACTGGGGGACCTGGAAATTTTCCATTTACCAGAGCTCACCAGCTGTCAGGTACCTGGAGCGACAAAGCAGAGGGGCTGGGAACAAGTACCAAGGCCACAACCGGGTGGGTCACTTCAGCAATCCGAGCACAACATGGTCTTGCATTGGGCTGGAAAGAAGCATTAGTGTCCAGCATATGGGCAGTGCCTGTAAGTGGTGCTTAATTCTCTCAATAGTCAGATTTGCATTAAAAACTTTACCTTTTCATTAAAACTTTACCTTCTGAAAATTTTACCTGGAGAACACTATGCTAAGTGAAATAAGCCCGTCAGAGAAAGACAAGTGCTGTGTGATATCACTTATATGTGGAAGCTAATGAACAAACTGAACTAACAAGCGAAGCAGACACAGACTCATAGATGGAGAGCAGGAGACAGCTAAGCAGGCAGGGAGGTTGGGGGTAGAGGCACTGAGCAAAAGAGAAAAAGGACTCGTGGACATGGACAACAGTGTGGTGACTGTGGAAGGGAGGAGGTACAAGGGAACTAATGGTAATGGAAAAAAATAAACTTTTGGTAACAGAAAAAGTGTGATCAAAAGGTTGTTCAGTAAATATAGAAGCAAACAAAGGAAAATTTGTCTGTTGATTTTAAGACTACAGTTTCTTGGTTCAGATCTCAAAGTGGTTACATTTTTAGAATAACTTGCCAGCATGAACATATCCAGACATCTGTTTAAAAATCAAGTTTTGTAATGCTGGGCTCGTCCAGCAAAAAACAGATGAACTGAGCTCTGGCTGCATCTACAGATGGGGCCTGAAGCGGCAGCCCCACGCTGGGCTCACTTTATGTGACCTGCATAGACACTTGAATTCAGCACCCTGCATTTCAGGTGTCTGCATAATTTTTCGAGTCAGCGCTCAGAAGGCCTTCATATTTCCTTCATTTCCACATTCTTGGGGACACCACCATTGCTGCCATGTGCCGCCTGCCGGGACCACTTCAAACCTGCTGTGTTTTGTTTTCTTCAATTACCGCCAGTGTCAAGGCTGCGCCCCGCCCCGTCTCCCTCTCACTCTGGGCTTCACCAGCGCTGTCCGTCACACGCTGTTACTGTGGCCCTTCCTTCAGGACACAACACCGACTTTCAAGGTCATTCCATATGTTTGAGATAGACTATCTTTCAGGGCCAAATAAGGAATAAAAACTACAGTGTGTTTTTGCTTTTAATACTTCCATGTAAATATCATCACCACACGAACCTGTACAAGACTGTAGGAAACTTAGGAAGGTGCAGGTGGGGTATGATCCCCGGCAGTCTTTCCTTATTTTTAGAAAAAGGGAAAGAATAATTACATACATTTAACTACAACTTTGTATGATTAACACAGTCTTGGCATAAAAAGCAAAAAAAAGAACAAGGAGATTTGTGTTGAGTGGTTTAGGGTTGATGTCCCCAAGAAAGGTGCACAGGGTCACATTCCTTAGCCTGTATAACCACTCAGACACCTGTCCCTAAGTACCACGGAATGGTTCTCTTCAACAGAAGTGCAATGCGGTTCACAACTGTGGGCCACATGTGAAATTTTTCAATGTTCTAGTAGCCACATTTTATACAGAAACAAATAGGGAAACTAATTTCAATAATATATTTTATGTAACCTAATATAGTCAAAATGTTATCAATATGCAATCAATAAGAACAGAATATATTGAGATATGTTACACTCTTTCATGTACTAATCCTTCCAAACCTGCTGTGTATTTCAAATGAAGGTCACATCTTGATTTGGACTAGTCACATTTTGAGTGTTCGATACTTGTGGGATAGTGGCTATTGTGTTAGACCGCACGGCCCCGGAACATTCCTAACCCTAGCAACACATGGGTAGCCACCAAGTAAATTGCTATAATTTAATTAAGTGGTTTGAAATAACTTGGACTGAATTGAGTTGAACTACTCTGGGGGGCACGACAAGTCTCCTCCAGTGACCTAAAGCGGTCACTTGGGTCCCTGGGGTCAGTGGCACGAAGCAAGGACTCCTGTTCCAGCCGTTTAACCTGAGTTTCCTGGCGGGGCTCCCCCACTCCCCTTCCCTCACCCTATGAAGCAGCTCCTGGACTGCAGAGCCCTTAAAAGGATGCCCAGGCTCAGAAGCCAGCCAAATGGTGATCTTTGGTTTTTGTGGCTCATTAATCTCATCCCCCCAAAAGTAGAAATGAACTGAAATTACCATTTCAGATTCCTCTTAAACTCCAACAGTACAAGAACTTGTTACATGTTCAGGATCCGTAGCTGAGTGTCCCACACCTTCTTTACTCACCAGTATATTTCACACCCAAGACTGAATTAAAACCCATTATTCTTCTCATTCCTCCACATCACGTGTTTACCTAAAATTTAGAAGTGGGATTCTGCCCCAGTTCACCCCCTTCTATCCCCATTCATCGAATTATGACAGTGACACCAGCTTCAAAACTTCCCGTCTGGCACTCCGCCCAAGGAGTGTCCCCTGGAATCACTCTGGCTTGTACTCTGCTCCAAGCGGAAAAACCCAGGCAGCCCCAAACAACACACCCTCGAGAACCTCCAACAAACACACACTCACGTGCACATACACATTCAAAACCAGAACAGCTGCATGCCCCTAAAAGACAGCAGTTAACTAAAAAGCTGCATTTGGGGGGAAGGTAATTTTAAGGAATGTCCCACAAAGAGTAAATGTATTTGGCCAATTAGTGAAATAAGGAGCTTAACCAGTCACTCAAAGGCCACAGCAGCCCAAAGGTGAGTGACCCTGCTCCTAAGCAGGAGGTGTTCTCCCCACATGGCAGCCCCATGCCCACCTCACCCCCA